TTTCCTTCAAAATTGTATTGCTGGTAATAATTTTTTTTCAAAGAAGTATTGCTGGTAACAGTTAACTATTTGCTCATAGCTGGGACCCTAACAGGTGCTACCACCCCGGGTCAGGATGGACCTGGGGGCAACAGCAATTAAGTGGTGGTTGCACGCTCCTCAAAACCTCTCGATCAGAGTCCTTGTTGCTGGACGTAGTTTAACGTCTTACCCAGGACGCGGATGTAGTCTTATGTCTTACCCAGGATGTCAATCTGTCAAGATATGAATTTAAACATTTGTCGATTAAAAACAAAACACCCTTTTTAAATTAAAATAATTTTCATACGTATGTAAATTTAGATACAATACTATTACTGCAAGGAACACGCTTGTATGCTAAATATATATTAGTAATATTGGGTGAAGTAAAAAGTGCAATCTATTTTTAAAAAATAGTACTGCAAGTTATTTGAGGTGCCTTGTTAGAGTCAAGAGAGACACAAACTAAAATTATTAAATAGAGTATTTCCTTCCCAGGGCGCCTGGCAACTATAAATTGTTTTGTTTTTTTTTCATTTTTCATTTTTACGTTCAAGTAATTTTAGCTGAGCCGCGGGTCATGGTTAGCAAATTCTCAAGTTTGAGCCGAATTTCATGCTTATTTCATGCTTCTAGTATAACTTTAACGAGAGTTAGAAATTTCAATTATTCTACGTAAGTTGAAACGGATAATATTTAATTAGGTGAGGGTGATCCCCGTTATAAAGTCTTTCTTTGGGCGGATATGTCAAGTGGATCTTACGTAATTTTATTGTTATTTAGTTTGAATAGTTAATAAAATGGCATTAAAAATGTTGAGCTCCTGCTTAAAATATGTTTAAATTCTGGACTAATTTGAACCTGGACATAATAATAAGGTTCATGTGAAGAAATCAAAACGATTTAATTTCGCAGCCAATTAATCAGTACGGGTCTCTTTAGTTGCTTCTATCGTTAATCCAATGCAAACGCTCCTGTAGACAATTATCTCCTTGTTTATAGTAGGCCTCTGTCGGTCAGGGTTGACCATGGTAGCATCCTGCTTGTCTGGAGCATCGACGTCTGTGACTATAGAGGCCGATGCGGGAGTGACAGTCTCTGTTGCAGAGGTCGCATGTGTTTTCTGTCTCTGGTCTGTTGGAGCTGTCACTTTGCTTTCTGCGGGCCCGCCTTTCCGTGGCGACTTGTGACAGCTTCTCCTCCCCTGACTTGAGGTGTTTGGTCAGGGTTCCTCTCCATTCGGATCGTATGGCTGCCAGGCTCTCCCAGGACTCTGTGTCGACGTCCAC